TTTACTTGTCACGCGCTTAAAACATGGTTCGAGTTAATGAGGGTAAAATTATATAGAAATGATCTGAAGAGAAACAAAAATTAGTATTACTTCGAGTTAGCACGAGGTTCGAGTCAGTAGCGAGGGTTCGAGTTATTGGAGTCGACCGTATACATGTATACCCTTTTTAAACGATTTTTCTCTTATTCTGCGTTTTAGAGTATTCCGTATATTCCGTACTTTAGAATATTCCACGTATTCCATCATTCCGTTCCCTCATTCCGTCAGTCCGCCATTCCACCGAATAGCGTCACCCCCGATATTTTCATGTCAAAGAAAATACTAAACGCGAGGCTAATCATTGCACCAAGAATTGAATCTGTTAGCTACATTTTATAGCGCCAGATAAAAGTCCTTTGAGAAAAAAAAAAAAAAACCGTAATTCTTGGGCGTAATGAACTGAGTTTTCGGGACCAAGATGTTCCTCGTTCTCGGGAGCAACAGTACTCCAATATCTCTCTCTTTTTTCCTTGAAGGAAGACATTGGACATTGACATGAATAATTCTCGCCCGAAAAAAAAAAAGAGGGGGGTCAGATTTCTTTCAATAGACCGCTGGCCAGAAGCGTCGACTAGTGACCCCACAACGATCAGATCACGCTGAGGCCAAAACGGTACGGCGGTTCGGGAATTTTTTCTTTTTAAGTCACCATCGCTTGTGAAAAAATAACATTACTGTAACATTGTTTCAATAAGTGCTTTCTGGCCGTGAAAAAGTTGTGCATTCACTTAGATTCCGCCGCAGTTTAGACAAATGACGTCATTGGCCGCTGTCACCCTACGACATTTTCCAGATTCAAGTTTCGTCAGCAGATGGTAATTTCGAGTTCTTTTCTTTTTCTGACTATTTTTCATCTTCCTTTCTTTTTTAATTCTACGTCCTTCTACTTAGGATGGTCTCTGAGCGCCTAGCAAGGATTAAAGTGGCGTTTACCACGCTATCCACGGCCGTATTGGCAACAGAGAAGTGTTTCGCCGAAGTAGCAACATAACGGTAAACACTGCAACTTTGAACGCTTTGTACAACGTCAATATACTTTGGCCGAAAAATGTTTTTCCAGAATCGTAATGTATATTCCTCCAATGTCTGATTCATCACTGTGATTGCTTTCAACAGGCTAGCGTTGGACTTTTGAGAAATAATTATTTTAAAATCAGCTCCAAAGCTCCATCTAATTTAATATGCAATATTTTAAAATTTATTTTTTATTCCCTTCGGCAGTTTTTCGATGTTTATCGAATGATATTGCGTTAAAAGGCCTTTTTCTTCATCACTGTGTGGTTTTCTCGTTGTTTTGCGTTGCGATAGTGATTTCTGAACCGTTTTTTGCGAGGGCTTATTTTAGGCCTGATTTTGCTGCTATCAGACGGAAAAAGTTTGCGGCTCGATATTTTTGGTTTAAAGCGAAACTGAAACAAAAGAAATTCATTTTTGAATAGTATTCGGTAACCTCTACTTGGGAGATAAAAATCGGCCGATTTTATTTTTTAGCCGGAAATCATCGGTCGTTTCTTAGGCGCAGGGCCTCTTAAACGTCAGAAGATTATGCGTGGTTGTGGATAGTCTTATCAGTGCCACGAAAGTGTGTGATTGTGTGATTTCCGCGTGGTGTTGACAGGTATGTGGTCGCGTGGTTGAGCTGTTTCGCTAAAATATTCTGTGCCAGCCAGAAAAACGTTTCTTCGATGTTTAGGTTATCTGATTGTATCGTGGAAAAGCAACTGTCAACTCAGGAAATTGGATCTACTAGGTCTAGTTTCAGCTGTCTCTAATTAGCTTTGAACCAAAAGGCCGGTTTTTGCAGATAAGAAGGTGATAACTTGTGTAGTATGTTTCATCCAGTTTGTTGTCTATTCCATGTGAAACCCTGGCGTTTATCGGACCGCGAAATAAGTAGTATTTTACTAACTATTTAAGTTATTATGTAAGCCCCTTAACCAGACACCTTTTCGCTGCAGTTCACTCAACTTTAAATTTCTAGACTGAAATGACACCAGCAGTCTTGAAGCTTCAAGCAAGTCAGATTACTGAATAAATGTTCTAAAATTTGCATCATTTTAAATTTGGGCCCGTTGAAATGCTTCCAGTAACTACTAACTTACTACCCGGAGTCAGAAAAAGGCTCTAATCCGGGGCACCCAACGAGAACATAGTTCAAAACCACTTAAACATAGCATTGTTGAACGTATTTTAATATTTAAACGGTAGATTTAGGCATATTTTTATCCCCTAAAAATTTTTCATCTGTTCGGATTTCCTAGCTGAAAGGCTAGTGATCCGAAAATTATAGGGATCAAAACTTACCTTTTCGAAAATTTTAGCCAGAAAAAAGGCTCCCGAAAATTCTAGGTGAACTTTTTAGGGTAAAAATCCGTTAAAAATGGGCAATTATACCATTTTTTAGAAGTTCCGCAAAATCCTAGGAGAGGCCGGCAAGTAAGAAACTTTACAACAAATGTTCCGAAAATTCTAGATCTCAAATCGTCTTCCAAACAGATATTTTCCAAAAATTGACGTTGGGTGCCCCTGTTTAATCGGCCTTTGAATGAATATTTATTGGTTTAAATTGCCAAGTAGTAGAATGACATGATTTTTTTGCTTACCCGGTTTTCGAAAAACCAGGTATATAAGCATCAGATTAATATCAAAACAGTCAGGTTAACTGTCTTTAAATTCATATTTGGCAAATACCTTTGCTGGTTAACAATTATGATATATAGATTTAACCATGGCTAAAGGCGTCGCTCCAGTTATTTAATTTATCATTTCAAACAATAAACTTGTAATCTACAAATCACTTAACTTTAGGGGAGATCCATGTGACTTTTAGAGGTGGGGCTGTTAGCCCGATTCTCAGACGTCCGACGCCATCAGGCTATGCAAACAGTGAAAGAATAAAACAACATCTAAAATCTTACAGCAAATAAATAGCAACCACCTTTGACCACAGTAGATTACTCGTGTGAAACAAATTCTTCCCAAACAAAATGACCTATTTGCCCACCTACACTGCCAGTCCTCGGTGGCAGCCTGCAATTTACACGCAGTACTAGTAACTTATCTTTTTTTTTATCTCTCTGTGTAAAGGAAAGGCCAAAATAAAAACGGAGTCAGGCCGGATTTTTTTTTTGTGTGTGTACGCTACAAGTTTTACTTTACAAATCTGATACCGTTAGCGCGTAAACCAGCCTTTTTACATCACCTTCGAGGTAAACAGAACCACAGTCGCGTGCCCTGTGAAATACCAACGCTAAGCTTTTTTGACGTATAGATAATATTCAACGGAGTCTGTTCAGTTGAATTTCGATTCACTACTTTACTTTTACTGTTTATGTAGAAAAGAACAGAGGGAAACACTTTAGTTTATGACTTTCGCTACTTAAAATCTAAAAAATAGGTCTTGAGTGGCTTTCAGTGCGTGCAGATGGCTTTCGTTTTGGGAGTAGATTATCGAGTGCACTTTTCAGAATTAATTATTCGTTTTCACTGTTACGCAATGAAAACACGGCACAAAAAAAATAAATTGGAAACCGTCCAGTAGAAGAAGCCGAAAACGAAATGTTATAAAATACTAATATATAAACAATTTGTCCAAATTTCAAGTATCCGTGGCCCACAGCTCCTGAGTTATTTTCCGAAACATTTCACGCAGCTTCGATTCGTAGAGCTTTGTATGTATGGAGACGCCGCCGGAAATCAACAAAAACGTCTGCCGTTCACTTTTTCTATAAAAGCTCTTCCTTTTCACTCGATAGCTAGCACACATGCGCATAAACACATCTTTTAATAATTGAAATGGTTAACCTGCTGAATCAAGAGGACAGACTTTTTTCAATGAGATTTGGTGTCACTCACTGTGAAAACTCCGAAGTTCAAATAGCTATATTTTCGAAATGAAACATGCTTCGGGGCTAGAAACTTGTACAAAGATTTATTTTCTGTTTGTCTTCCACATAGTGTAAATAAGAATTCGTAAAATCTCGCTTTTTTGACTTTGCAACCTGATGACGTTACTGTGAAAACCATCATTCAGAATAGGGAATGGTAGGCATACCGCAGAGATCAATTAGCAGAGAAAGTAAAACTGCACGTTTGTAAAAAGGTCTTCTACTTCAACCTAAAACACAAAGCCATTTCGCTATATTTGTTACATAAAAAATTATCACCTTTAAAAATTAATTAAAACTGATATTCAAACGGAAATTTACAGTTCTTGCGATTGATCAATTATCAACAATTTCTCACTCCAAGGCTTTGTTCTTTACTAAAGAAAATAAATTCAAACTTTCGAAAACAGTTACGAGTACTAGAGCAAACCAAGGATGAGTAAATTTTTTAGTGACACCGATGCGATGCTTGCCTGCCTGTTTTATATCAACGAATAACTCCTGCTTTAACACTGAATTTGAGTGTAGTTTACATGCGAAGATAGGACCCCGTTTACACTGGTCCGTGCAGATTTATGACCGGACAAATTTTCTTACCGGTGCAGTCCGTTTACACGGAACCGGACAAAGTTTGTTGCAAATTGCAATATTTTTTTAATCTGCCGTCGAAAACTTTGCACGTTTCGCGGGTCCCGTGTAAGCGAAAGGCGGATTCATGCAAGCTTCTGTCCGTTGAAAAAATTTTCCGGACCAGTGTAAACAGGTTCTAAATTAATGATGTTTTGAATACTTAGAGATGTGCTTGTTTTAAAATGTTGATTTATACTGTACATTTATAATTGACAACTCCAGAAAATACCATAACATCCCTTAATGCTCTTTGTTTGTCACCCCAAAATTTTGCGTAAACATTGTTTTCAGTTTCTCTTGGGGCCATTTTAACTCCCATTAGAAACTGAAGACAATTTTTATGCAAAATTTTGGGTGACAAACAAAGATTATTATGGTATGTTATGGTATTCTCTGGAGTGGTCAACTGTTGTCCTTGCTGGATGCAAACCTTCACTGGACAAACTACTCGTGTGGCGGAAAAGGATTTGTTGTATGGCGGCCAGATGGTGTTAATTCAACAATGGTTGAATCCGGTGTAGATCTTCTTGAACAGGCCTGGCATTTTAAAATGCTCTTAAACGCCTTACGGAAATTTTCTAACTTCCAGGCATACACAAATGGATTCACGCCAGAATTTGCCATAACAAAAACCCACTGAATTTTCCTCGCATACTGAATAAACAAGCAATCACAATTAGTGCAGAAATTTACAATGTAAATGCAAACACAAGAAGGCAAATAAAAAACTAAGAATAATATTAAGTTGACCAAAAGCGTTTTGGTCACTCTCTTTTCCCTTTCAATTGCTCGCTGCAACGCAAGATTTTTGGCTGGATTGCCATGTAGCCTGTCCCATTGGTGCACCTGACACCGCAAATACTTGAAAATCTTCGAGTTAGTGAATATTAGAACAGTTAAGGTTAGGACAACTGCAGTGTTGGCAAATACAAAGCGAAACTTGTTGTAGCCGACAACAAAATACAGAAGTGTCACAAGAGTTGAGATGATCCAAACCACAACGGAGACAAAGAAAGCTCGCATTGAATTCAGCTTTGATCTGTAGAATAGAGGATACTTGATTGCTAAGTAACGTTCCAGTGCCAATGCGGTCAAGCTAAGAAGCGAAGCAGTGCAGGAAATAAAATAGACCAGGTGCATCCAGACACGGAACCGCTGACTTGCTTGTTGGAGTCCAGCCGTAATAGGGTATACTGCTCCCATAGGAGCTGCAAAAAGTCCAACCATCAGATCTGCAAATCCGAGACTGGCTACGAAGTAGCTGAATGACGATCGGAGTTCTTTGTGGGGGTCTAGAAATACTGCTAGTACCACCAATAAATTGCCCACAGAAGCAACAACACCTGATAGTAGAGCAAACGATGCTGTCGCAAAGGACAAATACGCAGGTGCTGAAAAGTTTACGCACGGATATTGGTTAAGAAGAGACATCGCTTTATAGTTTCTCTCAGTTTCTAGCTTTCAAATTGTCGAATGTAAACAGCAGTGCGAAAATCTATGCTGACAATGTTTAACTCAGTTGCAATACGTAAATTGGACACTTTTCATCAAACGAAATCCTCACTCGTAGAAAAAAAAGTAATGGGCTGACGCTGAGAAGCCAATAACGGTGCTCAGAAGTACGACAGTAAGCTATTGCAGAAATGTACGAATGCACCGCCGTTTTTCTGGAACCTTTCACGCTGAATATCGTCTGTTAAGAAGTCACCGCTGATTATAATTAAAACTTCCTGAAGTAGTTTCCAATTTTGAAATGCCTTAGCCCTGAGGGGAAAAAAAAAACGTGTAAACCGGATGAACATTTTTCACGACAGTATTAGCTAGCTGAGCTTCTAAAAATTGTTATTACAGAATAGTCTTATCTAAGACAAGAGAGAATGATCTAAGAGAGCGAATCCCCCATACATGACCCTCTTCCCATGAAAATTATTTTCAATCTATTTTTGGTTCTGTGTCATACTGCGTGGTTATTTTAAGGACGTCACCTTATTTGTCGGTTAGAGTGGCGTCACGTAATTTTAAACTTGCTGGGTAATTCATTTCACTGCCGATCACGTACAACAAGCGATATGACGTGCAAACTTGGTATTACTTTCGTCCACGAGTCAAAAGATTGTACGTGGAATAATCTGGCCAGAGTAGCTGATGAAGAGCAAAAAGGTCCTGGCTTGTGAAGGTTCGCCGGAGAACCGACTAAGCAATAAGCGGTTCCGACTCGGCGAAAACTGCTCATTGAGGTCTTTGCTTTGCTATATGAACAACCAACATCCTATTGTAAAAAACGACAACTGTCTCTTCCGGCGACATCCACGCACACCCGCAAGCTGTGATACCGTCGTTTGGATCCAACCGTGGACACGTAACGAGAAAATAGGTTTAAAGTGGGTTCAAACATGAATGTTTGGCCGCCAAACATTTGAATTTTGTGTGGGCGCTAGACAAATATGGGCACACTGCTCACTACTGAAGAATTGGCCGAACCGGAAACTGCGCATCAAAACTCTCTGGCATCCACGTTAGCGACTGTTTAACAGGTTGAAGCATCTGACCTGATTTGTGTTTGCACAGCGAAATGTTCATCGCAAGTATTAGACGTCAAGAAGAAGTAATGCAGTTTGAAACTCTCAAGAATAATTCTTAAGAGCAAATGTACTGTTTCTGAACGAAAAATGTTCCTGGAAAAAAGAAAAAAAATATCTTGCACATTTGCATAAGCAATTGTGGCCAGCCACCTATTAAAGATTTTCGAATTCAGTAGTCGTTACTTTATTTAAATGAGGTTACCAGCCGTTAGAAAATCTCAATCTTTAATCTCAAAGTGAAATTTTGACTCCAATACTGCAATCCCTTTGTAAATAAAATCCATTCCTAAATTATGGGCGGAAAGCGCTGATCAAAAACATGTCAACAACAGGAGCCGATTAGTATCGGCTCCTGGCGCTAACTACTGTAATGGCTGTCAAACTTCAAATGTTTGCCGGCGAAACATGTCACGTTCACGTGAAAAGTAGACCGCGCGGGTCACGGAAACAACAGACAAAAATAACCTTCGCAGCACACGCGCGAAATTTAAATAGATTTTAAAAAAATGTCATGGGGCACACGGATTCGCTCTCTTAGCTCATTCTCTCTTGTCTAAGAGTATTTATTGACGACTCTGTGACGTTTCATTGAAATTAAATTTTGGTTTCTTTCCCACACATCAAAGTTTTTGTTGTGCTTTATTTTATATTGTTTGTTTAATTGCTAATGTTTGCCTGCCTTTCCATTACGATAAGTAAAAGGTTGTAGATGTCGACAGCAGCATTTGCCCTTCAACCATAATCATTCTTTAGTACTCTCCGTGTTTTTAATTTAATGTGTTTTTGTTTTCTCTCCAAGGGAGTAATCATTCTCCGATATAATAATGATCGGCCATACAGTGCCGGGGATACATTTTATGAGTCCGAGATGTTAGCGAGGTCCAAGTTTCTCGCATGTATTTACTTTTCAGTTGCATTAAATCCGTGGCAATGCTCCGAATTACTAATAACTCAGTTGTTTTGTTCAGATCTTTTCGCTCTCAAAGCCAACTGAATTTTGCTCACTCGAAACTATCCTGTTAGAAGTAAACAGCAAGTAGTCGATACGACGCGATCTATATCTCAAACGAGTACTTGGTTGGAAAAAAAAAGGATAATGATCTTTTTTCCATCATTGAATTTTACCACGAAGAGTAATCACAAACGTTTGAAAGCAGGGACAATACAGAGGATATATTTACAACAATATATTATTTTCGTTTGTCAGGACTGGCCTGTCGGACCTTTGCCCGACCAGTCAGTTTGAGAATGAAACAGGCTGTTTTTCCAAAAGTTTTTTCCTGAAAAACCATCTCCTTCGTATCAGGGTATGACTAATCTGGCTGGAGAGTTTTGATTAAAAGGGAAATTCTCATTGCGACGAGAATGGTCTCGCAGGTCAGTTCTGACGAATGGAAAGCGCCCTTAGCTAAAACGGATTAGTTTCGATAGAAATTGTGGTATCGCTTCCAACGTCGGGAAGTGAAACAAATTCCCTCATTTTGCTTTTTTTAAGGGTAATATACTTCGATTCAAAATTTTTGTAAATCATCCCTCGCGAAGTGAGGCCGGAGGCCTCTTGAAGCCGGTTACAATTGGCTCCCAACCCCCCATCGGACCAAAACACCTTTAGTTTAGACAGGCATTCCTTATCGCTTCGGTTTTTCCTCGTACTGCAGATATTGTTGGTTTTCACATGACGTCACTAAACTTCAAACTACAAAACTATCGATCCTACTGAGATTTTACCTTCATGGTGTATTGGAGCAGCTAAAAACTAATTTTCAAACAAATTTTCGCTTCAAAAGGGTTCTTGGTTTTGTAATAGAGTGCGCTTCAAATTCTAAGCTTTTGCGTGACGCAGCATTTACATGATGGCCGAGAGAGCTGTCATTTAGGTTAAAAAAGTGACATTTTTCGAGGAATTTTGCTATCTAAATAGTTCAAGTATAAGAAAAACTCGGTAACAGATGTTTCTGTTGGTTTCCGTCCGCTGTTGGAGCTCATCCGGATGAGCTCCAGCATGGCGTCTCCATACAAAGCTCTATAAATTTGGGTAAAACATTCCCTCGGATATCTCGTATACGAATTATTCCTTCGACCCAAATCTTGGCGAGGGTCTTTGTATATTTACCTCCTTTCATTTCCCAGATTCTGGACTTTATCTGACGAATGGTTTTGATCTTTATTTTGATCTATTTTAAATGGCGTGATACTGGAAACCAGCAATATAATGTGGATGCAATAAGGAATACTACGTTGTATAAGCAAATCATAAAGTGCCCAAGGGGTGTTAGGCTGATGGCAACAACTGCTAGCCCGTGAGGTCAAGGTTATAATTTTGTCGCGAGTGGAACATGCGTGGATCGCATAGCGAGGCAGAAACACGAGTTGCATGGTGAGTGGCGGTGTTTCTAACCAAGTTTCGCGAAGGTATGCGAGACAAGTATTTCTACTGATAAATAATATTTTCTACATGATTTGTTTCGCGATATTCTCCAATTCAGGTAACGGCATGAAAACACATGCAATATCAAGAAAAAACAAATACGCCAGTGGAAACCGCCAGTTGGTATCAACAGCCTTAATGTGAAAGAAGATAGTATCAAGTCTTTTACACGACGCTCATTTTGGAGCCGGCACTCCTAAATTTTGGCACGCGGGCCGTAAATCTAGGGCACAGCCTGCGTCATTTACACGACAAAAATAAGTTGGATTTGTTTCAATGTTGATTTCGGGCAGACACCCCTGAACTAGGAAAGGCACTCTTAAAAAAGTAAGCCGCCGGGCATTTTTACAGCGGCTCCCGAGGCCTTGACATAAGATTCCCGCCAAAAGTCACCCACTCTAAGCGGTCAGCAAAGGATCAGCATAATTATTCGCGGGTTGTACAAAACATTGAAGTCGAAGAACTAAAAAAATGGCAATTTTATGGATTTTAAGCTCACGAAAAAGAAAACAAAACGAAGGAAACGAAACAAGGTCATCATCTAAACAATTTTTAAGGTAATTAAATGCCGACAATACGGCCTTTTGAAGGCTATTTTGAGCTGCTTAATCATCATCGACTGAGAGAGGTTGCTCCTTGCTCTTTTGCATGGTTTGACATGGATGAAGTAAGATTAACTTGTGGTTATAAAACTTCATAGAAACCCGCGGAACTTTTGAATGTTCCCGAAGATATTGCTCGTCAGAATACACCTATGATGCGAAAGGCCGTTACTCCAAATTGTCGACTAGTGATAACACTGTATTGTCTCGCATCCTTATACGGATATAGAACTATTGCAAATTTTATATTTGGGGTGTCTTCTTCGTTTGTGTGTACTCGTATCCATGGCGTTCGTGAAGCGAGAAGAGCGGCGTCAGTGATCGGTGATCCCACCGCGCAAAATATTTTTTCGGCACACGGGCCACCTTTTAGGCAGGCCAGGACCACCTCGGGAGGTGGTTCTGCCCCACCTGATTTTTTCGGACCGCGTGCCAAAAAATTTGCATCTACACGGCAAAAAATCAGGTGGGCCGTCCCGAAAGTAACGGTCCGCGTGACCATCTTTAGGAGTGCCGCACCCAAAATGAATGTCGTGTAAATGGGGCTTCAGACACGTGTTGTAATCCTTGTTAAGACCCTCTTGCTGAAACAACATATTGATGATATAATACAATAATACAACTCTCAATACAACAGCGGAAAACAAGAAATCTAAGAAACGATTAAATCTACAACAGGAAAGTAATACTATGGTCGCTGGACGTTTCGTAGACACGATGACCTCGGAGGAGAACGAAGAACATCCTACGAAAAACAGCAAAAGGAAAATACTTACCTACTTCAGCGAGGGGAGAACTCTACGAAACTATGTCCTACGG